GCGCAAAAAAAAAAAAAAAGCTTTATTCTCCTGCAAGCATTGGTGAAAGCAGGGTCTTTGTCACAGATCATTTCTCCATCCACTGAAAAGATAAAGAAAACTAACAGCACAAACACAGAGTTCTTTCTTTCTCGATTAATCTCTAAAAATAAAAGTTCTCTTGTTTTTATTATTTTGCTTCCTAGATATTATCATGAAAACCCTTTGATAAAAGCGATTGTGTTGGAAATAATTATATAGAAGGACTTAAATCACTGAAAGTTCAAATACCAACCCATGTGTTTAGCTTTAGGGGAATTTCAGTTAGTTAAAAATGGTCACGAAACAGATGAAAATACTGTATTCTAAGAGGCCGATTATCCACTTGTTAGTAAGCAAATTTACATGTGCATATCTGTGTATGATATTTTGCTACATGCACATCTGCATTTTAAATTGAAAGATTCTAAGGTCTGTGCACCAGATCTTTCTGTAGGATTGCAGCTTTATTTGAAATGTACTTACTGGTGCAGGAAATGAGTCTTTGTCTCATTAAATTGGGTGCATGCTCAGCCAAATTGTGAGCTAGATTATAACCTTATGATCTGGCCTCACTAAAGGGTGATGCACAGTCCAGTGCCCCAGAAGCAGACTAGAGAATTAATCGGGAATCAGAGTCTCGATCCTCCCTTGCTCGCTCCTTATTCTGGAGAGAAGTTATTTTAGCTCTTTTTGTAGAGCAGCTTCTTCCCCTATTGTGTCCCAGCTAACTTTTCTGGCTGGCTAGTGGCAGGTGGGGAGAGGGCAGAGGAGGGGGAAGGGTCCTTCTCCTCCACCCCTTCCTCACCACTTGCTCATAGCAAGGAGTGTCAGGCAAATAGCTCTTGTTCTCTTTCTCTCTCTCTCTCTCTCCACTGCAGCTGGAATCACAATCTCACCTGTTATGAGTGGGAGGTTGGAGGGGGCCTTTTACCCTATTCCTTATCTGGAGAGCAGAGTAAGGGTTGTGTCAATCTTGCCCACTGAGGGTGACCTCACTTTGTGAGTAGTCCTGCTAATATGAGTAGCACCACTGAGTGAAAGTAGAGTGGCAGAATCTGGCTCTTAGTGAGAAAGGATTATACAGAAGCTAGTCCTCACTGCAATTAAAAACACGCAGCTGGCTCATGCCAGCTGTCTCAGGCTTGCAGGGCCCAGGCTAAAAGGCTGTTTAATTGTGATATAGACATTTGGGCTCAGGCTGCAGCCCAAGCTTTGCGAACCTTCTACTTTCCAGGGTCCAGGGTCCCAGGTCCCAAGCTCCATCCACAGTTAAACACCCCCTTAGGCTGAGCTCTATGAGCCTGAGTCAATTGGCATGGATTTTAACTGCAGTGTAGACACGCCAGATGAGGTCTCAATCCAGCAAAGAGTGTGATTAGTCTGATTAATGTCATTGGGATTAATGTGCTTAAAGTTGCATACCTGCTTAAGCACTTCGTTGAATAGGGACCGGAGTGTACAAGAGAGAGCATTCCAGAGACTTCTAGCAATATAGTTTAAGATTATATTTCTTTTTTCTTTAAAAAATAAACAAATATACAAAATAACCACAATCTAGCAGAGTCTCTCAAAATCTTTCTCAAGAAATGGTTAGCTGTGCATTTTAAGTACCCAGTAGTCAAGGAATGTCAGTGGGGTTTCCACTTGCAACCTTAGCTCTATTTTGTATATGCATATTAGGATGCAATCTTTACTGTGAGCTCTGAGATTACGAATGCTATGCAAATATACTGACCTTTTCTGCTAAACATCCACCACCCATTTGGCTGGTTATATGTTGCCTCTTATCATAACCCTATACAGCAAGCTGTCCAGAGCATGGATCGTCTTTGATTTGTTTGTATTGTGCCTAGTTCAGTTGGGCCCTAATCCCTGATTGGGGGATGTTGGCACTACTGCAATGCAAATAATAATAATCACATGATCAAAAACTCTTTCTTAAATAATACGTTATAACTTTCATACATATTTTTCTACAGCCTTTGTAAAGTGCCTCTTTCACACAGTGAATGAGGCAGAGCTCTGCATATCAGCTTTGCATACTTACTTTTATATGAAGTTCATCAGTTCTCTTATTGCCATATGCTATGTAGTAGTCAGTAACAGAAGGTGCTACATTGTCTAAAATTCTAGAAACATTTGTATGTTGTATTGTATAATCTGAGAAACAGCATGTGATGCTGTAATATTGCCACCTAACTTCCCATCTTCCCTCCATCTCATGCATGATCAGGACATGTAGGTGAATGAAGGCAGATACAGGGATGGATTTAAGTGGCAGGCTGTAATTTTATTAACTTAACACTGGGGAGGTGTGCTGTATGTCCCACATCTCTCATGTACCAGGCACTGAAGTGATTTCAGTGCAGGGGTTATAGGACTCCCACCATATGACCCATAACTTAGAGTAGACCATTCTCAGTCTAATTCTAGAATTCAGCTCACTTCAAATCCTCTCACCCTCCCTCCTGCAAAGGGGTAGAAGGAAGGTACAAAAGGAGTCTGTGAAGACTTCAGGCTCTCTCTTTCCACAGACACAAGGTCTACCAGTGAAACCCAGGTCTCTGTTATCTTCAGAAGCTGGCCCTTTCGGCTTTTGTCGGCACTGGATACCAGTCTCTCCACTCTGCACTCTAACCAAAACCAATCACCAAGGAACAAACTATTATATATTGGCATCCATCATTACATGGAAAGGGAGAAACCCTGAGTAACTGAAGATCTGTAACGGATAAAGTTCCAGTTTCTTACTCTGCCATCTTAACTTCTAATTGATGTAATATAGAGCATTTATACAGTCTCACACTGGTAATATATCTAAAAAATACATTGTGTGAAAGAACATTGCATTACCAAGGATTTATCGGGAGGTCTTCCCCAGTGCTGGAAGGGAAAAAAGGGAACATGTCAAAAAAGGAAGGAAATCAATATCATGCTCTGAGTCCTGTTTCAGTCATTGTTAGTTTCTTGTACATCCCTGCCCTTGCCTTCAACAGTATTTAAGAGATAGTCATGTAATCTGGTTGCTGCTGCTTGACCCAGAATATATGAGATTGCCCAACAAAAGTGACCTTGGGCATGATTTTCCATTGCCCTGCACCTTGTGTAGTCCCTTATGCCAGTGCAAAGTAAAAGTAAAATGCTGTCAAATCATGATGTTAGCCTTTTACACTCATTTTTCACTGTTGCAAATGACTAGGTAAGGTGCTGAGAGCAACAAAGAATCAGGCCCTTTTTAGTTTTGCTTGGTGGAAAAATAGAGGTTTCAGCTCCCTTGTCTACCAGATTTATTTTCAGAATAGCAAAGCCCTTCTTCAACCTGTGTGGCTGGACTGAGATCTGGGGAAAATTCATTTAATTTTATAGTACTTGCAATAATTAGAGTTCTATATCTCTGATCAGACAGCATTGTTCCCTGAAACTTTTTAAGGCTTTTCCTAGTAGAAATACATTAGGCTATTTTCAAGTAGTGTTGGTTTTTAATTTAACTGATTTTATAAATTCATACTCTTACATAGTTACTGGTGATTTTTCCATTAATAATAATAGACTATCTGTTGTATAATGGTGCTGTACCTACAAATTTGTTCTATGCCATTCTTTTCTAATTTTTTTTAAAAAAAAGCATAATGACACTGCTGTTTCCTTAAGATTCACTGGAAAGTTTGTAGTGTAAATAATAAATGGCAGGACCCATTGTGGGAAGTAAGTGGCACTGTCAGTAGAAAACAATTAAAATTATAAAACATGGCCCAATTGTTGCAGCATCCTAATATCTGTGCAGCAAATGTACATTGTAACTAGACCTTTTCTTAAAGTGTCCACTGCAGAAGCAACTGGGGAATTTCCTTATAGACACTGGAAAATATCCCCTTCATTTGGCAAAAAAGGATTAGCCTGTAGATCTGATTAGGAATTTGCACATGACTTTATTATTATATAGATAAAAAGAAGCAAATTCCTCAGAATCAAAAGAAAGTCAAAGAAAATAATATCTAGGAACCCAAGCAGGTAGAAAACACAGCTCTAAGAATTTTTTCAGAGTTTGACATGACAGTTGCTGACGATGTAGGATAAATGGCAAAAAAGTGTTTTACCCCATTATCTAGGGAAATATTCTAAGTACAAGAAGCAGGAGAATTCTGAATATTTTAATAAATAGGATTCCTAGTGAAATATGAGTCAACTTTGAAACAATTGAATAATATAATTTTTAGCTTAAGTTGAGCTCAGTCTTAACAAAATGTTTAATTCTGAGAAAATATTTCTAATTTCATGAAATGCTAGCCAGGAATGATTTATTTACTTAATTCCTTTGTAGAAATCAGAATTATGTCATTTAAAAACATAAGGCTCCTCTGGTTTTTATCTTTTCCCCCCAAAAGCCATCCATAAATGAACTGTAAAAATATGAATGTGCAGCATACTTCAGCAAACAGCACAGCTGGAACATTCAGTATACTTTACCTATTATTTCCCTGTATCTTAATAATTAAATATTACTGCAAGGCCCAATCCTGTAATCCTTATTCAGGCAAAACTGTCTGAGAAGTCAGTGCCTGTGTGAAGACTGCAGGATCTGGTCCGTTGTCAGAAACTATTCTTTTTGAAGCAGGCAGCTTCATAACAAACACATTCAGCCAAACATACAACAAACTCTTCAAAAAAAATTCTCTACTATGTCATGTATGACAGCAATATCATGAGATTATACATCTATTTTAGCATAAAGAGTGTTTGGAATATGTCTTGTGAGAAGGTTTCAAAGATGAAAATAATCTGTGGGCCAGAATATTTGTTTTATCATTGGAAATTTCATTTCATCTAGACCATTTTGATATATCATTTTAAAAACAGGATAAAATGTTATGTTTTAAACGTGACATCTGGTGATAAATCATGTTCACAAGTTTAAATTGGAGCAAGAGATACGTGATTGTAGCCATCAGAATTAACGGACATATGCATACAATTCTTAGACACACGAAAGATCAAAACAAGAAAGTGGCCAATCTGAAGCACAATCAACAAATGGAAAAAAAGAAGAATGCGCAGTTGCTGGAAGAAGTTCGTAGGCGAGAAGACAATATGACAGACAACTCTCAGCACTTGCAGGTGAGCCGATTTCTTAATTCATAATTGTATACTGGTTTACTAATTACACTTTAAAATTGCCAGAAAAAGTATTTTTCCAATTTATGTGTTGTTTCAAAGATGCATAATGGGTCTGAACCTGCAACACAGTGATCACTCAACTCCCATCAGAGGAGGCATTCATAACCTCACAAGATTAGGTCCAATATGTGCTAGAAGGGGATCTTCCATGCAATGCAGAATAAGAAGACTCTGAATGAGAATTTGCTAAATACATTAAGTATTAATCATAGATATGAAATGCTGACAACTTGATTTGAATTGAGAATTTTAAATCTGTATAGTATAGCCATACATTTCTCTCTTACATTTATTTCACTTGCACTCCTTGGAGCAAATTCTGCACCCATTTATACCTATGTGACCCGACTTATGTATGAGTAATTTGAAGGAATACTGAGTGGAATCTATTGGTCTTCTCTTCAGTGTAACATCATTTTCCCTTAGTGTAAAGGAAAGAAGGATATTCCATTTCCATTTCCTGACTTATCTCAAAATGAAAGGAATGTGAACGTATTTTTTTGTTTTGTGTGTTTTTCCCTGTAAAATAATTATAGGTTAAGCATTATATTATTCTTACACATATATATATATATAAAACATTCAAAGATTTAAAAACAAGTATCACAAGGAAAAAGCAGAGCCTTCATGAACCAACAGATCCTTATTTTTAAAGACAGGTTTTTACCTTGGTTTCAGAAGAGTTTATACAGTTAATGGATCATCAAAATTCAGAGAGAAAGATTCTGCAAGATAATCAGCTGATACAATTCAGTAATACAATGGGTACAGACGAAGTAATATTGTAGCAGAGACTAACACATCATTTTGGTACCTGCATTCAGTTATTATTTAGCCTTCTCTGACAATTGACTAAAAATAACCTCTGATCAAAAGTATCTAATATTACAAAATTCTGTGAACCACATGGGGATACCTGGAATCAGTGTGTATAGGTAAAGTTTAAGTTACAGTACTCCAGGTGCTTGTTTGCTTGATCTGGTGGTATAGTGGCTCCCTGAATGGTTTCTAATAGATGAAATTTGGCCTGCATGTGCTGTGTTCTGTATTGTGTTTCCAAGTATGTCTGTGTGCAATATGGAGAATTTAACACCACTATTTGCTACCTAGTGTAGGCTCTACAACTGCTAGATATGTCAGAATCAGATATAGGAGATTATATATCATCCAAGTTCTTGGAAATTTTATAAATTGCAGTGTTGTATACTGCACTGTACTGTACTATACTATCTGGAGTTTTAAAAAAGAAATCATGAAGTTTATGTAGCTTTACCATGGACCATGTAATTTATAAGGATAAAATTAGATTTCTATAGAAAATGTTAATTACCATTAAGAACAAAAAATTTTTTTTAAAAAAAATTTTCCCCCAAAAAAAAAAATTTTATTAAAACCCCAGAGGCCCTTTTTTTTTTCTTTTAAAAATTAAAAAAGGGTTTTGGTGGAAAAATCACTAAAAAAAAGTTTCAAAACTCTCTTTCTAAGTCTTTGATCCCCCCGAAAAAATTATTGGAGCTTTCATATCCTAATATTCTTTATATTCATTACATTAATTTCCCCCCCAAAAAAAACCAAAAAGAAATACCTTGGAAATTTTCAAAAAATAATCCTCGGAAAATCCCCCCTTCCCCAACCCAGTTCTATCAAACATTTGCCAGTAATTATTTGAAACAATTATTTTCAATAAAAATTCCTTTATATTCATTACATTAATTTTTCATTTAAAATGTATATTTTAGAAGTCTACATGAGGCAGAAATAAATGTCCGCTATAATATGTTTAATTCCTGTATAACAGAATAAACTTAACTTGAGAAGGAATGCACCATATGTGGTTATCTTTATCAGGAAATTAAAAGATGTGGTGTTTCCGTCCTGGGTGTGTTTACAACTTTTGGATACTTGTTTCTGTAAACAGCAATATACCCAGTAATAGTATATGTGGCATATTGTAGGTAAAAAGAGAGGGAAGTCTGATACAATTGTTCAGAAAAACTGAATGACCTCTTCCTAAATGGAAAGTGCTTTAACTTTCTCTAACATGAGGGCCTTATTCACATGGGACTGTGACCCACAGGTTAAAGAGGCATTAAAAGATCTGACAAAACAAAAAAAGAGGTTAATCTCTCTCAGACCCAGCTTTCGCACTGGTCCTTGAAAGTTACCTCACTGTTGGTAGCTTGATTTCTGAACCACTAGGTGCCTTCTGACATCACTGAAAGTTGAAGGTTCCGAGCATCTTGAAGGAGACGCTCAACACTTTGCAAGATATAATGTAATGTGAGTAAAAGCCAGTGATACCAAATCTTTATTTATAACTTGGGAATTGACATTATAGGGCATCTTGATCAGAGTAGTATCCATCGTGTAGAGTTAGACTCTGCATGGCCCTAAATGCACATGTGAAGGGTCAGGGTACAATGAGCTTCCATCTCCCTTTGGGCAGTTGCAATTCCTGCTTTCAGGAGGAGTGCTGGATTGTTCCTTCTCTACTCCCTTGGAAGTGAAAAGGAGGTGGGGCCATGGCTTTGCCCCTTCCCACCACAAAGCACCAGCCAGCAGATCTAGCTGACTGCACAGGGCTTACTGATATCCTGAACCACACAAAGGCCTTAGAAGCAGGTCCACAACCTCTATGTGCTTGAAACTCTGGGACAGACTCTGCTGCAGAATGCTTATGAGTGCTTTCTCTGGGGAGAGGCAGCTCAACACTGCTCCTTACTATGGCACAATCTAACCCATAAGTAAGGTGATCAGGGTCAGTCCTAGTGTTGTCCTGTTCCAATGAAATCCAAGTTTTATCCTGGTTTTACTATTAGCTGACTGGCTATCTGGATAACTTTTCCTCACTCCTTGCTCTCACTTCTTTCTGTCCACTCCCTGTTGATGTCTGTTATGCTTTCACTGGACTAGATGTGTTCTCTCTCTGCTGTCCGCTCCCTCAGTGAATTAGACTGTCTCTCATTCCATTGATTAGGGGTGCAAAGCAGGTTGGATTAAAGGGCAAGTGTTCAAAAGCAGATAAGTGAGGAATAGAGAGCTCATAGAAACCAATGTCAAATGTAAAAGAAATCTTTGAAATGTGAAATGGAGATCTTTTGGAAATACAAATGGCTATGTTTATAGAAAAGACTAGACTGACCCAGAGCGCTTGCACTAACTCAGAGGTGATTTTGATTGACATCTGAGGCATCTGACTGAAGGGGACTTGGACTTAAAACTTTAGCACCTCATCATATTAAATAATTTAATTTATTTGGCATAATATAAATACTCCTGCAAACTTAGTTACGAAGAATCTGGCTGGAGGGATGCAATACAGCTGCTTTCTACAGGTCTCTGAGCTTTTGACTACATTTGTGAGCATACTGAATTTCTACTGTGTTCGGCTTTTGCTTTCTAATATCTGTGTTCTAAATGATACATATTGTAAATAAATTAGATTATAATGAGGTAACTTGTGTCTACTCATTTTCTCTCCCAATGAGGAATTAGCCCACTGCTGGAATATGGATATTTGTTATCAGTTGGAAGGTATGATAATATTTTATATCAGTAGATAGAATTTGAACCTGTGTGGCTTCTGCTTAAATCCTTTTTAGTGAAATGGGCACATAGTGAATTCATAGTTGTGATTTTAGTGTTGTCCCAACGAACAACCAGATAAAATGGAAAACGTAGTTAATCTTTATATTAAGGTTTCATTTATAAATAGTATATAAATAGTTAATAAATTATTTGTGGATGTTTTAATACATGGTGAATTAATTCTTATACATTACTATAGAGTCCAATAGCTCAATATGTTGCTTTATTCATGTGGCTTATATCCCTCTGTAATACCTTCTACTGGATGTGCTTATAGCACATATTACTCATGTCTGTATATGCTTATAACATCTGTTAAATTATTAACCTTTTATAAACCATTTAAAAATGCAACCTTAATGTAAAGAGTGACCTAAAATTCTTTGACCAAGTATAATAGATTCTTGATAATATGTGAGGCCATAGCCAGCTGGCTGTGGCTTCAAGGGTCTAATATGTCAGTTCAGGACACATCCTGTGCTGGAGCACAGTGTAGCTCTGGCCAGATCCCCTTTCTCCTCAGGTAGGGCTCCTACACTGGGAGCTGGGAAGGAGTTGGTGCGGGAGACCATAGAGCTGGCTCTAGGCTCCTTGGAGATTCCCCTAGGACAGTGGTTCTCAAGCAGGGGCATATGTACCCCTGGGGGTAGCAGATGTCTTCCAGGGGGTACATCAGCTCATCTTGATATTTGCCTAGTTTTACAACAGGCACATAAAAACCACTAGCGAAATCAGTATAAACTAAAATTTCATACAGATAATGACTTGTTTATACTGCCCACTGAAATGTAAGTATTCAGTTGATTTATTTTATAATTATATGGTAAAAATGAGAAAGAAAGCAAGTTTTCAGTAATAGTTTGTTGTGACACTTTTGTATTTGTATATCTGGTTTTATAAGCAAGTAGTTTTTAAGTGAGGTATAACTTGGGGTTACGCAAGACAAATCAGACTCCTGAAAGGGGTACAGTAGTCTGGAAAGGTTGAGAGCCACTGCCCTAGGGAAAACCCAAGGAAATAAGTTAGCTGGATTTCCATCTAGTTTACACAGCTGAGAAGGTCCCTAAGACTGCAACTGCTTACTTGCTATGTAACAGGTTTCAAGAAATTCAGAAGTCAGTAGTTTCTGTGAAACCTCAGCCTCACAACAACATCAGTTTCTTCCTGAAATTTAGAGGTCTCATGGCATCCTGTGAGTATACGATACTCTTCACTTGGCTCAGGGTGAGGCACCTTCAAAGCTGGTTAAGAATTGAGTATCTTTCTTGGCTTGACAATCTCCAGCCTTTAGTGATCATGTCTCAGAAGATTCTAGACCCCTATTGTGGTGGACAGTGCCCAAGGACGTCTGC